CTGTTGACACAGTGGGTAAATATAAATGATTTTGGTAGAAGCCAAGATAATTCTCATGAAATTCTTCATTATTTATACAGTAAAAAATGTTTGTAATGTTATTTTCCACAATAGGCATATAGCCCACAATTTCTTGATTGTTTAGGAAAATTGTTCTTGTACACATACCTCCCTTGCAAGAGCAAGAGCCACCAGGCAGGTGAGGATGAGGATCTTCATGGCTACTAAGCCCTGTGAATGGAGAAAAAATGGAATGGTGATAGATTGGTCAATTGGATGTATTTTCTTATTTAGGTAAGGTTACTTTTTCTTCAAAAAAGAGATAATGTATAACAAAAATGTCTACATTTTAGAAAACAAATAGAATAAACACTAAATAGAAGTTGTATGACCAAGGTCAAAATCTATTATGGCTTGCTCATTTATCAAATTCCAAAGTTCATTACCAGCTAGCTATTCAGATTTTTCAGCTAACAAGTCTAACCTCAGTTTTAAAGAAGTTCCACTTACAGTATTGTATTTTTAAAAAGGCATAAAGAAGCTATAAATACATATTGAAAGATGTACTCATTAATTTTAAAATATTTCTTTAGAATCTATTCTTGCCAGACACCGTCTAGGAAACTGGACTGCAGGAATGAACAAAATGAAGTCTCAGCCCTCATAAGACTCAATTCTACTGGAAAAGACTGATCAAGGAAATGTGTACTAAAAAGTCACATTTTATTTTTATCTTTTTTTCACCAAATGGTTATCATGAATATTTAGTTTAATTACTTCTCCTCATTTCCAATAAGACTGAGATTTTCATTTTAACATTTTCCTTGTTTGTGTCACTATCCAGAGATTTTGTTGGACTATTAAGTTAGATTCTGCTCCATTTATATCCACTGTGCAGTCTTCTTCCCCACATAGCTAATAATGTCTGTTCTTTCTCCTTTATGCCATGTGACTTTAGAGATTATACATTAGGCTTCTTCTTTTCTCTGTATTAAAATATACATGCAGGTTTCTTGATGATCTACCAAGAGGTCAGAGCCTCTTGCACACTGCCAAGCATGGGACTACCTCATCTTACAAACTATATGTTAATATTTTGGACCCAAATATACCAAAATGTCTCCTAATCATGTGTTCTTACATTTTTTTATAATTAATTTCAAAATAATGTTTGTGCCACAATATGACTTGACAAATAATCTTCATTCTCAGATTTTTGAAATTCAATTTTTAAGCTGAACATAGTTCAAGAAAAATGTCTCTAATTTATTTGAAAAATGTTCTTTTTAATATTTGAAGGTTGAACATAATTCTATTATGGAAAATAAATATTTTTTCTAGATTTTTATGAATGTTAAATAATTCTTTATTAATTTTATTTGCCTGAGATCTCCATAAGTTTCCAAATTTTTTATCCCACAGTTCAGAAAAAGAATACAGCACTCTATTATATATCATCACACACTGGGAAGATCCCACAGCATTTTCTATATTTTCTAAGCAGCATGTTATATACTAATTTCTAAGCCAGAGCTTCATTATCAACTGGTATTCTCTAAGCTATTTTTTCTTTTATATCATCTATTATCTTTGTTTATGGTTTCCAAATCTTCCCTACCCCATTAAGAATTTTCTTACAAAGTAAACCACGTTGTTTCTTTTTAAATTAATTCTGTATTTCTGTCTCATTTTAATATTGTTTTGAAATATTATAAACTAGTTAATAACCTGGAAGTTTGAGGCTCTAGACAGGTTTGATGAGTAAACTCTTCTAAGAACATTGTTAATAAACATTTAAACTAGTAAATGTCCCCAAACCATTACCTCCATTTTTTGACTCAGTATGCTACCACTGTAAACTACCTGTTGGACAAAGCTTTTCCAGTAATTATTTATTTACCCATACTATAATTTAAGCATATTTCTTATTATGATTGTGATATGCTAAAACAAATTGGAAAAATAATTCAAAAATTGAATCACCTGTTAATATTAACTATTAACTAACCTCATACTAAATATATATATATAATGCATAAAATTAGTTATTATATTTTCTTAAACTCATGAAGGCTATATGTCATTGCAATTTTTTATTACCAAATTATTCTGGACACTTCTATTTTTTTAGCCAAAGTGTTGAAAATAATTTTAGTACTACCTTAAATATTTATTTCAAACACTATATTTTAAGCAACTGTGTTCTTTCTATAGCACAAGCTACTTTGAAATAAATGGTTAGGAGAAGATACAAGAAATTTATATCTACAATTCTTACCTTTTCCCCAAGATTGAAGAGAAGTGAAGGTAGTACCGGATGGATTATCGTCTATCAGCTTCTGTGGCTGTTTATATACTATATTTAATGACATGCTAATTTTGTGGTTTGAAATGAGAGCGATAGTGAGCTTTAATTCCAAGAAATCCATATGATTAGAAAATGATTTCTCCCTATAATATGTCCCCAGAAATTCTGGGGATCATTGTAACAAGGGAGAATTTCACAAGTTGATAAAGGAAACCTGTCCAGCAAATGCAATTGTTCAACAACAAAAGACAATGACTGGAGGACAGTGACACTGTGGCTCTCTCCCCAAGTTATTACAAACATAATTAGGTTTCTTTAGGGCCTAGTAGGGCCTTGATATTTCAGCTGTGGGAAAATTATATATGGTTTTAGAGATACTGAGTGCTTCACAAAGGCCACAGTTTCATGTGACCCTGAGCAGTTCTTAGTGCTTTATGCTGAAATGAAGAAACTGACAAGGTAACAAGTCCAAGATGGTAGCTTAGTTATGTGAGGCAAACCGTTTTTCTCCCAGGGCAATTTTATTTGGCAAAAAATAATTATTTAGTTCAAGCAAGTGTTTTATACACAAGAGAAACAAACTTTCCTCTGTGATGGAGCAACTCGAAGAAGGAATCTGGATGGCTGGTATAGGCAAAATACTCAGTAAATCTGTAATAAAATTTTGCAAACTATCATGGATTTTATTTACGTTTTAAATTGATTATCTCTTTTCATCTCAAGCATAATCATGATAATATTAATGATAGTTATTTTTTGGTTACTTCTAATCCTTTGCCAAGCAGTAAGCACGGATATTATCTTGCACAATCTTCACAAGAACATATGGAGATATTTATATAGAGAAAATAGAGATTCCAAAAGGTTAAGTAACTTGCTCAAAACCATACTGCTAATGGCAAAGATAACATTTGGGCCCAGGTCTGTCTGACTACATGTGATTCTGTTTGATCACATGTGAGTCTCAGAGCCCATGTTTTAAGCTCCTGATAATTTTTTATAAAATTTCTCTAACAGTGTAGTGTTTGGTTGAAATACGCAGAGTTTAATTATGCCTGAATTGGAAAAGTAGGGTCCCTGTGCTGAGTATGGCAGGGGAGCTTGCCATTAAGAAGCTGCTCTTTTAGTTGAGCCTTAGAGAATGAGTAGAATTTTGAGAGATGATTAAATGGGGATAGCTATTTTGGCTGAAGGAAATGCAGGCACCTGAAAGAACAATATACCAATTTTGAGGATAGTCAGAGGGCATACAGTACAAATTACAATTGCAGAGGTTTGATAGAATCAGATCATGGATGACTGGGAATGTCAGGCATGCAATGTGACATAATCCACTGGAAACAAATATATTAGAGATTTGAAAGAGAAAAGGATTGTAAAATTCTTGGATTTTACGACTTTTTGACAATAACTCAGGTAACCTAGTCAAGGAAGTTGCTATATGATGTTATTCTAGTAGCCTAAGACAGACATTATGACGATCTCAAGTAGGGAAATGGTACTGGGTGTCTTAGGCAATAGGAAAGCACACTTCTCATTAAAACATGAGAAATGTGAAAAATTGGGGAAATGAATTAATAGACTGTGTCTGAGTTACTGAAAAGTTAGCCATGTTATAAATCAAGACATGAAACGAAGTTGAAATTGGAAAGGAAATACTGAGTAAAATCTTGTTCACGGTAAATTTGAAGGTGTCCAGAAGATGTTTTAAAGTAAATGTGATACTCAAGAAATAATCTTGGCTATAATTTTTAAAGACAATTTCTCTCCTCAAAGGGGAAAGTGAACATCTCTAGAGAAAGAGTATCAAGTGAAAAAAGAAATTGTACCAAAAAAATTCAAGTATTCCTTCTTTAGCAGGGGCTGGTAGAGCAAAACAAAATAGGAAAATACAGTATCAACAAGAAGAGAGTACAGAGTCCACCTCTTCTCTTTGATACCCTGCGTTGCTAGAGGAAGCAAGTGAGGTCAAGAGTGAAAATGCCACACAGATGATTGAGATACACTCTAAATGGTTAAGAAGTAAGTATATTGTGAGGAATTAAAAGCAACATATGTATATTGCCCTTCAGAGAAATTTAGAAGAGGAGATAAGGAGACCTAAAAGATTGTGACTATGTGTACAGGAACAATCAGAACCACTAGAAGGTATTTTTAGGATAGGGAAGACTTGTAGCTTACAAGAAAGAGACTCATAAAGAGAGAATTAAAACATACCAAAGAAGTGGGAATAAATTAATGGAACAAGTTCCTATAGAGTCATGGTTAAAAGAATAATATCTATTAAAAATGTAGCAGTTTTCCTAAAAAAAACAAAAAGGAAGAAGATGAGCAGATATAATACATGGTTGAGATACAATGTAGAGAAGTTGAAGTTAAAGGTCTTAATTTTCTAATGAGGCAAAGGGGGCGTTCTCAATTGAAATTGAAAGAAGTGGTTACACATAGTTGAATCTTTGAGTGAATTAGCCAGATACAGAGGACAAATATTACACAACATTATTCATCCGTGAAATCTTGTTTTTAAAATTCAATATATGGAAACAAAGAGTAGAATGGTAGATATGAGGGGTTGAGACTGGGAGATAGATAGGAAGACGTATGTCAAAGGAAACAAAGCTGCAGTTCCGTAGGATGAATAACTTTGGACATCTAATGTACGGTGTTAGCATTAAAATCATTAATATTTTATTGTATACTAAAAATTTGCTGAAAGTAGATTTTAGGTATTCTTACCACAAGATAAAAAGAGTAACCTATGTGAGGTGATGGACATAGTAATTTGCTTGACTACAGTAATCATTTCACTGTATATGTATATCAAAACATCATGTTGTACATCTTAAATATGGCAATTTTGGAAGAGCAGAAATTTTTTGTTAATATGAAGATAAAAATGAATAAGAAATTC